CAAATTCAAACCACCACCATTTATTCGAGCATGCGAATTTTACCAAACCACCACCAAACCACCAACATTTATTCGAGCATACGAATTTTAATTATCCGTCCGATTCGTGCATATGATTAATTTACTGATCGATCGCTGACCGTTGATTCCTCATGGTCCTAAGTTCAGAGAACCCCAACAAATCAATTGGAACCATAACTTAAAAATAATAATGGATTCCACTGAGGACTACGCCAGAGCATGGGCTAAACGAGAAGAAGTTGGACTGGGCACTTTGTCAGAATGGGTCAAAATAATCAGGTATCTAATAAGACGTCGAATGTATAAGTTGAACAACTGTGTGACTGACTTTTTTGAAATAAAGCAAAGTTTCTAGCGGCAAATTGGACACTGATTATCAATTGAGATTAGAATAATACACCTAATTCAATTTCGTGGAAGTCCTAGTACAGAAAGTGTTTCTTCAACTATTTTTTCAGCCATAAGGCAATCTTAAATAGCTTAAACCATTACTAAGTAACATTTTGTCTTCAAATTCAGTATATAAATTGTTTATCAGATTATCTGTAAAGGGTATTTCTTTAATAAGGAAAATGTCAGGTTTTTTTGTTAATTTGACCATTCAATCAATCTTTTTCTTTAATCAGGTTGTTGTAGGTCTTCACAATGAACTACAGAGGTATAAATATTTTTGTTTACCATAATTTGTAAGCAATTAATTTACTTGTAACTCCTTTTAAATTCAGTAAACATAGGGCAATTCCCGTTTTGATAACAGTTAAGTCGCACTTTAGCTGACCTTCACACAGATAATAGACAGATACATTTTTTTTTTTCATTTTGTCGCTTGTCTCGGTTTTGCTATTATAATAGTTGTAGATAATGTTGTTTGTAAACAGCATTAATTTTCTACCTGTACTCGTATCTAAATTTCTTTAGCAAAAAATGATGAAATTGTTATTCTGCACATTTCGTTTTAAGGGCCTTAAAAACAAATAAAGGTATGTAAGCACAGTTAGTTTCTGTTGAAAACATACAATTACAAGAAAAAAGATTCTATTGTTTGTTTTACCACATATATTATTATTAGGGTCACCCAAGCGACTTCAAAAACAAACATTGAAGTTATAAGAATTTATTGAGCACACTCAGTGTTTGTTGGAATCACAGTTATATGGAATTAATTTTGAAAAACATATTCAAAAGGAATATAAAAAAAAATCAATATTTATTTGCCTGCATATATGAAATGTGATTAGACCAATGATAATTGGCTTATCAAAAGTTGAAACTGTAAATCACCTGGAAGAAATTCGAAATATACAATATACACTGATAAAATAGCTAGAATTATGTACAACTTTATTTTGTGTTATTCATATTATAAGATAAGTTCAATAAAATGTTCCAAAAGTTCATCATTGGGTAGTGATTACACCTATAGCAGATAACTAACTATTTGCGGTTTTTGATCATTTAGTAGTGTTATTACAAGCACCGTTGAGTAATTTTTCCTGAAGAGTCACGGGTTACTTTTCTAATCCACTGCTAGTTGTTTGTTTCGATGGGATAGAATGTACCATGATTTGTTTTTGATGAAATGCCGTGTGACTTGTTGTGAATCTGGGTAATTGTGGTTTACCGAAGTTTCTATTTAGAACTCAACTGGACATGCTAGATGTATGTAAAGGTTTTTTTGTTGATCTCTTTGAGTAGGTTTGATTGTTAGCCCTTTGCAGGAGGTGTACATTGTGTTAATCACTATTTTCATTGACAATCTCTGTCAGACTTGATAGAGATTTTTGCAACTCATTTTAAATGTTAATAGAGCAGATGTATTTGGTATTGCATTTACTGGTGGTGACCCCTTGTTTCGGGTAGTGTGTTAGGGTCACTTGGCTCTTTTTGGCCTTCATTATGTATACTAGAGTTTGTCTGCATCGAAGCATATTACTACTGTAATATTGTCTGTGGCCTGGTTCTCCACAGCCTTTGTATTTCCAATTAGTATAACAATGTCTGGTTTTGTAACCAAATTCCATGCATTTATTATATTTTGATGATCGTGTCGAATTGTTGACATCTATAAAATATGATAGGTCTGTATTTTCCAATGAATGTTGATTTAGGATTTGCCATTGTTAATGGGCCTTCATAGATGGCGATTCAGTCTGCTGCATGACAGTTCGTGAACATGTTTTGAAACAGTAACCTTTCTCTTGATTGTTTCAGAATTGTGCAGTTGTAAATATCTAGTTATCTCAAAACGTGTCAATTATTGGATGATAGGGGAGCATCTTGCATATAAACACAAGGATTTCTAGAATATAATGATATAGACATTCCCTGAAGCTCAAGCACAACAGAGAGTAACTATTCCTTATTTTTTCTGTATCTAAATATATCCTCCATAGACATTATATTCTCTGTACACTCTAAATTAATCTTTTTGGTTCTACATCCCCTACAGCTTGGTACTATTCTTTTATTGTCAAATACAGACTCTTAAAAGTGGGTTTTAAAATATCATTAAATACATAAGCTTCTTAAAAAAAATACTGGATTAACTGAGAACACAGATTCAGATTGTTCAGATTTAGGTTCCCTTTTAAAAACTAGATATACGACGCCATAATGGAGTTTTCTTGGGTGGCAGTTTGGGTCCTTTATTATATATAATGTATTGGGTGCACGTTATTTTTCTGCTTTACTGAGTAACATTCAGTCAATACTGATAAAGCTATTATATATAAAAAATTGGTTAAGCATTGTGATTGAAAAAAATTAGTCAAAGTGTCATATAGCTAAACTTCTATAATTATTGTTAATTTAGAGAAAACTAATACACTTGGAATGCATTTTTTATAAATACAAAGCTATATTCACGATTTCGTATATACCATTTAAGACGACAACATTTAGAATCATGTTTAATATTTGTATCATAACAAAAATACCAATAACTGTTTAGATTGCAAGGTCATTACACTTTTCCGTGGAAAGAGTAATCTATCTTTACCAAATTCATATGTCGTAATGTTTTTGTAACTTATAAACCGTAAGCCTTTTAAACCTATTATTTTTTAATGGAGGTCCTTGGGTCCTAACTTAGCAAATGGGGTCAAGGTAATGGTAAAAGTCATAATCTCAATTTTTTAATTTTGCTTGTTTTTGCATTTCCTCTGACTCTTTTAAAGATAGATATAAAAGAATGAGTGCAATTTTTTTGTCATATTATGATGAAGCTACGATACATTAGACGGTGGATGGCTGCTTTACGTCCAGCGGCAAATTAATATGCATATTCAAGACGAACGATACATTTAGTCTGAAACAATCCAATGACATCTTATAGGAGTTATTGTCTAAGAAATAATACATTTGGTCTGAAACAATCCAATGACATCTTATAAGAGCTATTGCCCAAGAAATAATACATTTGGTCTGAACCAATCAAATGAATCTTAAAGGAGTTATTGCCAAAGAAAAGTTTAATTCAAGGTTAATTGATTATTACTTTAATACGGTACATGATAAAGCCATAGTCTTTTTCAAAATGTTAGGTGACATATGACCTTGAAAATTGTCAACCGGAAGTGACCTTGAAAAAACGGCATGTAGCCATTTTTACACTTTTTTTCAAGGAAAAGTACCTAGAAGCCATATATTTTTTCTTAATTGGCATCCAAAATACTATCATTAGAGACTGGATAAAACTAGGAAAAACTATATAGAATCCATACATTTTTGGAATCAGTGTTAATAAGGCGATCAAACAACCCCGGAAGTGACATTTTCTAATCCGGAAGTAGTAAATTATCTCCATTATTTCAGGCAAAAGTATATAGAAACCATATATTTTTGGAATCAGTCTGAATAAAAATAAGAAGATGTGGTATGAGTGCCAATGAGGCCCCAAAATGACTGGTGTAAAAGAATTTAAAGAGGAAAATCAACGGTCTAATCTATATAAAAAAACGAGAAACACTTATGAACCACATCAACAAACCACAACCACTGAATAGCATGAATAAAGCTATAAGACGACACTTGTAATGACATTTTCTTTACCGGAAGTAGCAAATTATCTCCCTTATTTCAGATGAAAATATATAGAAACCATATATTTTTTACAACAGAATGAAACAGACGGAAGTAGCTTCTTATTGATAATTAATGAATTTAATGTGGCAAGATTTTCAAGTGTTGGCTTTTGATTGATTACAATAATTGCTTTAGCATTAAGATAACTTGAGAGCAATGATGGTACTGCCACGGTATCAAGTGGTAATAATTTGCAATTAAAAAAGAAACTAGAGCTCCAATTTTGAAAACCTGGTTCATTCCGAAAGAACTATATTTACCTCATCATTTTTTTCTTTTTCTTTGTTCAAAATAGTCATTTCTCTAAGTTAGTATGTTCAATAATATATCTGATAAACATTTGAATTCCCAAAGTGATGTAAATCTATGGAAATGTTTTCTTTCGCAAATATGTATTGCGTTAAACATCACAACTAAAGGAACAAATATACTAAATGTGATTGATTAACGTTTAAGAGTTGCCTTGTTAATATGTTACTAATAAACACTTCCTTGTTATGAAAATATACACATACCTGGACGATTAAACTTGAAATAATTATTTTGTAAATGAAATTGTAGTATCACTTAAGGTTAATTCTATTGCGTATATCATTAAGCGAAAAATGAATACATGTAATAAAAATTCTAATGATATAAACTATGAGGGTAAATCAATATGTCAAGCTCTAAATTGGCGCAAGTCTTCAACAGGTGTAACTGAATTCACACATCTTTAAAAAAAATCTTCAATAAATACCAAATTCTCTATAGAACAAGGATAATAAAATAAAACTTCGGATAGGCATATATAAATGGGGCAGGGTAAGAATATTGTTTTAGGTATCAACCCTCTACGTACTCGATTAGTGGACTAATCAAAGTTAAGTGTAAGCACAAACAACAACAACACATAGTATAAGAAACAGACTTTACTCTGAAAAGGGGCATTAGCTGTCAAATTCATGTTTACCGATTTGACTCAAATTCTCATATTAGATTTAAAACATACTAAAACGTATATCCAAATTACAAAAAGTCTAAAACAAACAATTAACAATGCACGATAATATGTATCAGCATTTCGTGTGTGTTTTTGTCTAGACGTCATCTAATTAACCACCGAGATGACTTCCGAAGACTGTTGACGGTCTTATAACCCGATATAAACATAAATAGAAATAGAAATAGAAAGCGACCACTTGCAACGAGATTTTCTAGGTCTGTTTGGTTTTAAATTGTAGGTTTCAAAGTATGCTTATCATCGTTGTTACCTGTATCAGAATGATTTTTATGTAGATCTTATCAATTAACCAAATGGTTCATCCTTGTTTCACTTTCAATTTTGACATTCTTTTCCTTTTAATAGCCAACATGCGTAACCCATCTCCAGCTAAGAGGTTAAATTGAAGGTCACATCAATACGGATTCAATGAGGTCAAATTATTCACTTGCAAGTGAATAATTCATCAGCGATGTCTCTTAATTTGACAAAATTGAACCAAACTGGTTGCTAAACCCGAATTATCATTTCACTTTTTCACTTTCATTATTGATTTTTTATATCTGGTAACTAATGCCTCTTTAAAAGATATTGTATGAACAAATAATTGTAGTGTATCATTCAGGTTAGCACTAAATTATTTCGTATCATCTTATTTACTTGCTATCTTATTCATTGCCTTTATGCAATGTTAATCAAACTCCAGTCTTGTAGTAACATGTATGTTGCTTCATATCCAGGAGATGAAACTGCCTTCCTTAGAACATAAAGCGATTCTTTAAATGGTAAAAACCCACTATGATGTTTCAATTTGATATTGGCCGCTTTTGCTACTATCCCGATATATGCATCTTCTAATGGAATAACCTTTATAAACGCTGCGGCAATGGCTAAAATCTTAATAGTTTTGATATTTGTCAATATAGTTCCTCCAATTATGTATGGTGGAAAAAAAACAAAAGGATAGTCTTCAGTTGAAATGTATCGTTTAGAACTGTTATCTCTACATGCTTTCGAAAAGGACAATCTATATCCTAACATAAGTGAATCTGTTGAATAAATATTATTAGTTGCAACACTGTATATGTTTTTTGGATTTACTAAGCGGTCATCATTTACAAAAAAGACGAACTCAGCCTTTAAATTGACTCGAAATAACCATAAGATAGAATAAATCATTTTATAAACTTCATATTCATACTGATCTGGCATATTAAGCTGAATAATATCCCTGTTATGTGTTGACTCATGTTCGACTAAAGTGTCAATGCCGTCAAGGTATCCGACGATAAATAGAATTTTGGATCGAAGTTTCGTCGTGCCTCCCCATGTCCTTCGTATAGCTTCACGTTGTCCAAAGTTTAACACATATGATTTTACAATTAAGATCATTTGCAAGAAATCACAATTTGAATTATTACACATTGAGTCGGCAGGATTTATTTTGTAGATATATGTCTCATCGAACTTATTCAATGGTGTGCCATTCGAACTTACATTGGATTGCATTTCAAATACTACTTTTTCTAAAGCAGGAACATCAATTATCAAGTTAGTATTGATTGTAAAATCCTTAAATGGAATCACTTGAAGGAGAAAAATTCCACATATCAACCCAATTACTAATCGAGATCTGAAAGAAAAAGGCTTATACATTTCAATATAGTAAATGAGTGAATTTATGCATGTGCTTATGCAGACAATACTGCATTTATGCTTTCTAGATTTATGTTTACTAGTTAAAATCATACCAATAAATGAAGATTATCTACCATAACTTTCCTACGTTAAGGCATAGCTTTGTAAATATATAAAATAAAACTAACTTAATGCAAGGAATCATTTTGTTGTATCAATGTTTTGTTGTCTTGCACATCTTACTGGAAAAAGAAGCATGTCATTTCAGTAATAGAAATATAATTTCAATGAATTATAAAAACAAAATCAAATATTAACTGCATTTCTTGAATGTCTGATTTAATCATATTTGACTCAGGAAAAACACGTGTGACAATTGGCTACTTGTGTTAACTTGGTTGTAAAATAAACACTTGTAAAATTACACACAGGTACTTTATGTAGTACTTCATATACATTGTTAAATATATAGATAATAGTTTTGGTACTATTTCAACTAATAAGATATCTTACACCCAGTTAGCACAAAAACATTTTGATACATATGATATATGCACACGAATAAAAATGACTAGCCTTGAGATATGCTTGTGATTTTACACATTTCAAATAAAATGACATATATAATATAATTCGACTGGCAACAATCAACTTCTTATGATTAGTTTAACATTATGTCCATGAGATGTCTTTATTAACACTGAAATTGACATTAAAGGTTCATATACTACTAGCACTAGGTCTAAGTCGCGGCTGGTGTATTGGCATTCTCTAATGTACCATTTACCTGGTAACTGGGACCTAGTTACTGGCTTGAATTATATCTAACCTTGCATTTTTAATACACATGACATTTCAACAGTTTGAAGTATTTGGTTTATAAAGTTTGTGGGCTTAATTGCACGTGAAAAAAGTATTCCGTTTTATAAAAATGAATCAATATAATTAATACAAACGACTGGCAAAGGAAGCACACTTCATAAGGATCTATCAGCCGAAATCAAACGAATCTACGCGAACACGTTGGATTTATCTTCCCTTAAAAAATACTATTGTAATTTCAGGAACATTACCAACAGCACTGTTTTCAAGGACATTGTTTAATCGTCGCCTTGAGTTGCCAAAAGGCAAAAGCACTCTTGACATTATTGTAACAAACTGTAATAATTTGTTGTAGAATGTAGTCTTTACGAATTATAAATTTTGATATATACATTCTGTGCACCGTTCTTACTGACTTTTGAACAGATAAATAAAGGCAACAGTAGTACACCGCTGTTCAATAGTCATAATTCGATTAAGCAAAAACAAACCCGGGTAACAAACTAAAATCGAGGGAAACACATCAACTATAAAAGGAAACAACGTCCAACAGAAACACTGAACTCCAACAAAAGCAAACGTCAACATACATAGAAACGGACTGTCTAACATAATCGTTGCTTGAACTTTAGGTTTACCGATTTTCTCTAATTTCTTATTGATATATTTTGACTTGATGTGGATTCGCATGCCGGATTATTCATGTAAAAAAGGAAACACTGTTGATGTTGACTCACCCAGCCTCACTCAATTCGGTTTTTTTGCAAATTTCTCTTTTTTTTTTTTCGTGATTTGTATAATTAGATAGATTTATAAGTGTTCAACACATTAATGTTGAACTTATATGTCATTCCGTTAAACAACATTCTCCATCTCTTCACATAACATGTAACATAATTTATGACGTGAGCAATGAGAAGTGTCTTTAAGCGGAGTAATATGTCAGCCAACAACTTTATTCCTTGTAAAGATCAATATCACTCTTAATTGTTGTTATATTTATTATTCGAGCGTCACTGATGAGTCTTTTGCAGACGAAACGCGCGACTCACAAAATTATCAGCATTGGATTATTGATGATTTTTTTCTGAACAATTTGAATATTTTTTTGTTCAGAGCATATCATTGTAAATGAACATGATGAAGTCCGTTAACTGTAAACATGCACTGAAGTAAGGATTCAGTAGAGAAATGTTAACGCTATATGATATGGCAGATGGTGTTGAGAAATTTGAATGGGAAAGCTTTTACCGTTCCATTTGTCATATACCCTTGTTTGAAGTCGTCCATCTGTGTGAATTAAAACTTCGGGAATATATGAGATGTGTGCACTCATTTGAAGGCGGTAATGAGTGAAAGGACATCATCAACATTTCTGCAAATGAAATTGTATAACTTGACAAAATACTTTTCCTTTTTGTTCCCAAGAAGGCTTAAAATAATAGTACAAATATTAGTCGGACAGCAGGGGGGAACAGTGAATTGTCATTAAAACACAATTTAAAAAAAAATTATTCCACCAAACTAACAAAAGGCATGATATAACTGCAAAAGTAGTAAATTAATTTTAGTCTGAGACAGTCATTTTGATCTTAACATTATCTGAAAAGTTTGAACAATAAATTGTTAAATCATGTTTAGTCTTGCAGTCAATTTTCAGACTTTTCCACTGCGATAAATTCAGTGCCGTTCAGACTAAATTTATTCACTAGTGTGTAAAAGCTGTGATTGAAGATTTTATATTATGTCTTTAGAATTTTTAAGACATCACATCTGACTGAAATCTCCGAAGAGCTTAACTCATCACCAGTTTTTTTTGAAAACCATCTTTTACCGAGGACTGAATGATAATACACATTTGAGAAAAATTTAAAGAATAAGTGGATAAGCGTCGTACATTGTATCGTTATTATTCGAAGCGTTAGTTTACAATATTTAAAAAAAAATAATTTTATTGTTATTTGTTATGGTGTTACCAAAGAGAGATAGACGGACTAATGATTTTCTACTTCTTCGTTATCGTTAATGATGTAGGTGTAAATAAAGGCAACAGTAGTATACCACTGTTCAATAGTCATAAATCGATTAAGCGAAAACAAATCCGGGTCACAAACCAAAACCGAGGGAAGCAAAACAACTATAAGAGGAAAACAACGGAAAAACAGAAACACTGAACTGCAAAAAAACGCCAAAATACATAGAAACGGATTATTTGGTAACAATTGCCACATTCCTGACTTGGTACAGGACATGTAAGTGGGTTTCATAGGATTTCTTTAAATCACACGTTTTGTTGGTAGGAAATCAAAATAATAATTTTGCATATACATATAATATTTTTCAAAGTTTGCTGCTGGAACAATAACATATTAGTCGTGAAAGAAGGATACTGCATATACAACTGCAGGCGTCTTTAGAGGATTAGAAACCAGTAGGCTCACAGTATCTAGTAGTCTTGAAATACGCTTCAAAATGCATGACTGAAACGCTATTATACATTCAAATAAAGTATCTAGTTTTGTTTCACATAGCTCGCTCTTCAATAATTTTAATAGTCGTCAACTGCATCTATTAATAACACTAGGTTCACTTTCCATTAGGTATTTCCTTTGGACCTTTGGCTAATCTGCTCATTGTTTTAGATGTGAAATGTCCCCGGAATAAAATGACTATATGATTGTTTGAAAAAAAATGAAAACAACACGATATAAATTTCATGCGTCCGAAGCGCTTTTCTGGATTTACCTTCATCAGGAACGCTCAAAGCCGAATATTTGACAGCAAAAAAATGTATAAAAGCCAAAAGAATTGTGGAGAGCTATATAAACAAAAGGATCCAACAAGGACAACTTTGCCCGAGGGAGTTGAAACCTTAGTTTCTTGATAATTTCAAAATTCATAAGCGGACAATTTTAGAAAGGTTTTTTATAAATCATGTCAGTACCGAAGTACTGACTACTGAGCTGATGATACCCTCGGGGACTGATAGTCATCCATCAGCGGTATCGACCCAGTGCTGTAAAAAAATGAAACAACATGATATAAATGTCATGCGTTCGAAGCGCTTTTCTGGAGTTACCTTCATCAGGAACGCTCAAAGCCGAATATTTGAAAGCCAAATGATGTATAAAAACCAAAACATTTGAAGAGCTATAAAACAAAAAATACCTAAACAATTAGCCAAATCCATCTAAGGTCAACTTTGCCTGATGGAGTTGAAACCTTAGTTTCTTTATAATTTCAAAATTCATAAGTAGACAATTTTAGAATGGTTTGTTATAAATCATGTCAGTACCGAAGTACTGACTACTGAGCTCTCGGGGACTGATAGTCCACCTGCAGCGGTTTTGACCCAGTGCTGTAAAATAAAATGAAAACAATACGTTATAAAGTTCATGCATCTGAAGCCATTTTCTGAATTTCCCTTCATCAGGAACGCTCAAAGTTGAATATTTGAAAGCCAATGATGGAACGATATACAAGAGAAACCATGGAGTTTTTTTGTAGTTAGAAATCTTGGATGCAATTAGTTTGATGTACGTTTTAGAAACGATAGGTCTTTTTTTTTTGAAAGATTCGGTATATGTTTACCTACAGATTTTCGATTGAAAATCTTGCCTATATTAATAAATATTGCTAATATAAATAACAACTAAACGCTTTTAAGTTATTTAGCCTTCAAAAAACATCTATCAAATTTTGTTTTTGTGGCTCATGCAATATTGACCACGTTTTTGAACGATATCCTATAAATAGGTTGTTACGACAGAAGTAGAGATTGTGGTGGACGAACCTGTTCTAATCAATAACATGATATTGAATTGGTGTTTAGTCGTGATTTGATAAAAGATTATGATTGAATGGCTTAACGTAAGACTTTATCGGTATTATCAAGATCACACTTGCTAGGTCTTGATATGAACGTCCCTGATTAGGCATAATTTGTTTCTTCGTCTAAGAAGAAATGGATTACTAACGGCATTAAGGTATAATGTTTTGTACTTATGGTTTGAAGTCATTATCTGAAAATCGCTGTTTAGGGGTTCATCTGTCCGTACTAGAATTATGATGCCATGATACTAAACCCCTTACGGTTGGAATTGGGTTGATTTTCTTCTGACGAAGACATAATCTTTCAATCAGTTTAATTGAAATTAGGAGTTGGTGTCAGTTACAACTAGTAGTCCTTTGTTGATTTATGTTTATCATTGTCATTATGCTTACTTTCTTCTGTTACCTACTAGTATTCTAACATCGGACTCGGTTTTTTATTAAACTGAGATTTTTTGTGCGTTTTGCTTTGTGTTTGTTTATTCCATATTGGCTAGAGGTATAGCGGTAGGGTTGAGATCTCACAAAACATGTTTATCCCCGCCGCATTTTATTGACTGTTCCAAAATAGGAACCTCTTGCCTTTGTTAGTCTTGTATGTTTATTTTTAAATTTGGTTTATTTGTATGTTTCGGAGTCTAACGTGGGGTCTTTTTCGCTGAACTAATATACATAATTGTTTAGGAGTCAGCGGAAGCCTGCCTCCGGTTGCGAGATTTTTTTTGCTATACTGAAAACCAATTGGTGGCCTTGGGCTGTTTCCTGCTCTTTGGTCGGGTTATTATCTTTTTGACACATTTCCCATTTTCATTCTCTATTCTATTCTTTTTACCTCTACCCTGTTCTTACACTCATCGAAACCTCATACAGGTTCAATATATTTTCAAAAATGCAATTTAAAAGTATTATCATTTTTGTTGAAAACTATTATTTCATCAATTTATAAATCCGTAATTCGAAACAGTACTTGTCTTCCTTTGACACGGAATAATAAACAGAGAAGTGCAGCATATTTATAAAAGAGCCATATATATTTAGAAAACGTAACCAATAGATAATGACAATTTATAGATAAAAAAAAAAAGGACTCTCCCTGCAGTTTACTTACAATTTTCTAATGTTTAGTCTTCTCATTTCCATTTTAACTTTCGCTAACAGTTGCAATTACTCTTAGCAAAAGGCGTCGTTCTATCGTCTGTTTTGGTCTGTAAAACAAAATTCATTATTAATATACCAAGGACTTTGTTTTCAATCTAATTTCAATTTGTTATTATGTTTCCAAGTTGTTTCATTAATTTTCCCATGCTTATATTATTGCTCATTATATAACGTGACCTATTCTTATTTTGAAAAATTAGAAATCTGACAATAAAATGAATGAACTCTTTTTCAATATGTTAGTTTGCTCAATCACATCTGCGACTTTTCCTTATAATGATCCCAGGAAAGATTAATTGTGTTGTAATATTCATTGCATCATCTTCAAACTTTTTTCAAGTGACCAGAACATTGGTGGTTTTTGAAATTTCTCTTATGCTACAGAACGGGAATCCAGGTTTACAGATTCCAGGAAAACCAACTCTGAGTGTACATCTTTTTAGTTGTCTAAACATTTTTTCGTTTCAAAATACCTTACCTTTTGCGCCTTAGTGATTTTCATGAATTACAGAATTTTTTCAGTTCTCATTTTTTGTATATAACTGAACTAAACAGTTTAGAAGATACGATGTTTTGTTAATAAGTGGGGATATATTGATTACTGATAGTTACGACGATGTTAAGAAGCGTAGTGTTCTCTGTTGTATATACTAAGTAGACTTTTTTTATTTTGGTTTTATGATGATACCGCTTTTTTCAAAGGAAAAGTTTTATGGCTGATAATGTCTGAAGTATAATTAAAAGAGTCTCTATTTTCCTTTTTACATCTTACAATTGTCTTTTAGATATGAATGAGATCGGTTCAAAGCGTGAAGAACGTAATGTATAATTGATTTTATATATTTGATTTAACGTTATATTGATGTAACTTCAATGAAATTCTATAGCTTGTATCCATCCTTTTTTCTCGACTTTTCGGGATTGTATTTGTGTGATACTTGTCATAATTGGCAGTTTTATACATTACCCACTGCGTCTCGTATCTAGACACCTAGTCGCATTCCAAAGGAATTCATGCTTTTGACAATACTACCCCTTACATGAAATTGACACTTCATTATTGAGAAAATTACATGGAAAAAAAGAGGAACATTTTTGCCATTAAACTTAACCAGGTGTAACAACTATTGAATTGTTGTCTTAAAATAAATTAAATGTTAAAAAAACAATTAAATGAATAAGTACCGTTAATAAAATCATTTCGTTTGTTTTAGTCGCCTATTGGTTTCCTTCATGTATTGTTTAAAATACACGAGAGGCAACACTTGGTTCCGATTGTTCAATGATACAAGAGAATCAAACTCGATATAATTGAAAACATTCTAAACAAAATTGATTGTGATTTTGAAATTTTAAGTCAGTTGGAATATAAAAAAGGATTTGTGACACTAATATTTAGACTTTGTCGATAATGATAAAAGTATACATTATGATACTAATTGCTCAACAACTAGACATCCTTCTTTGACTTGACCATAACATTAAATTTGAACTTGGAATTTTTGTTTAGAACTTTGATGACCTTGTTATAATAAGGAGATAAGGTAGATTGTCAATGAAAAACACGAACATGTATATTATCATACTCCAGAAACCAAATGAAGTGGAAGTAAGCAACTATCTGTATCAATTAGGTATACATCAATCTAATTTGTTTAGGGGGTTAAGAACATGAAGGGCAAAATATTTAATAAATATTATATAATTGTGTTCATTTGAAAATTGCCTTTAATATCTATCTGAATAAGACGTGTATATTCATTCGTATTTAAATATCAAAACACCTTAAATATTCTGTCTTGATGTATGTTTAAGACACCGATTAGATTTTGCAAGTTGTTATGCAAATATTTAGATGTGCATAGTTTTTATAAGCCAATTGCTAAAAACACCAGTGTGAGCCATTGCCATTACTGGGTGTCTGTCTTTATCTATTGTCTGTTTACTTTTACAAAATTATTCTTCTTTCAAACTATTGGGCCATTTTTTAAACAAACTTTGCTACAATCATCATTAAGGATTATTGTTAAAACCATGATTCAGATCATCCTTCCTGCCAAACAACATAGCCGACATGGCTTATGATAGAACATATGGGTAAAATGTACCTCATGTTTGTGTATTATCTTGAAAACCGTTAAAGATAGAGAAAATCTGACAAGCGCAGAAATATTCAGAATGTCAAGATCAACATTAGGTCCATATCGTCAAAAATTGTCAGACACCTCCTTATAGGAGTTATTGCGCCTAATTACTATTTTTCGTGTTATTGTAAAACCTCTGCTGGTGGACTATCAGTCCCCAAGGGCATCATCATCTCAATTTCGGTACTGACATGATTTATAACAAACCTTTCTAAAATTGTCAGTTTATCAATTTTGAAATTATAAACAAACTAGGGTTCAAAAACCTCAGGCAAAGTTGGCCTTAGATGGGTTTGCCTATTTTTTTGGGGGGAGCGGGTCCTGTTTTGGCTATATAGGTCTTCAAATTGTTTGGTTGTTATACATCCTTGGCTTTCAAATATTCGGCTTTGAGTGTTCCTGATGAAGGTAAATCCAAAAAAAAAGCGCTTCGGACGCATGCAATTTATAACGTGTTGTTTTCATTTTGTTCTACAATTATATTGACAACTATTAAAGATAGGTAAACTTTAATAAAATAAATATTATATGTTAGTTATCAATAGGAAAATATCTACTGATATGTCAAACATGGACGAATTTGTCAGTCGACTACTTATAGGATGTATTGTCCTTTTAAAATTACATTATCGCTACCAATTTTTTTCTGCACTGGATGCGTATTTTGACAATAATGCCTCTTTAGTGATGGTCGAACCCATAACATTTGAAAATCCAAAGCTAATTAAATTGTTGAAGAGCTATAACCCAAAAGAGACAAAAAAGTAAACCAAAGCCTGGCCAGGAATCAGAGTGTTTTGTGTACTATTGTTTGTCTGTTGGTCTTTTTCTTTTTTAGCCATGGCTATGTCAGTTTGTTTTCGACTTATGAGTTTGAATGTCCCTTTGTTATCTTTCGCCTCTCTTTTGCAGAAGGGGAGATATATTCCTTAATTTTAAATAATTTCCAAAATTAAATGACATTTTTTTAACCCTTTTTAAGTTTTGGGCAAATGCTTTAGAAGATAGAGAGAAACTATCAACAAATAGGTTAGTTAGGCGGAAATTGCCTGTCACCTTCTTTCAGGAGTTTTTGCCCTTGAATGACGATTTTTTTACTAATTCATTGGACAACAATTATAGTAGACAGAGATTTACTGTATCAGCATAAAATCAATAAAAAAGAATTAAGTCATGAATTAAATTCAATAGCTAATGAAACATTATTAATTCACCATTTATGGTGTTTATGGAGCAACATATTTCTGTTCCAGATTTTGAAAATAATTTATGACATGTACTCATTATGCACACCATATATACATTTACAATTAATCATAATTTTCATTTTGACCTTGGTTTGATGGCACTTATATCTTTCGGTCAATTTTAAAGATATACTAGTAAACCATGGTAAAGTCCTGAAATTTAATCCGTTTAAATGTCTTGGTAAAATAGAGAACACAATTAATAATCCAATTTGAGCTTTAATGCAACTATTTCTGTAAATGGTTTACCTTTTTCTATGTTGTCCCATAATCACTCTTACTAACTAGCCTAAAATAATATTTTGTTTTGCTTAATCTTGTCTACCGTTTGCTGAAGTATTTTTGAAATACTCCAGGTTAATGAGGAATCATTATTGTTTCCAGGACAAAATACTCTTAGAATTTGAAAAAAAGAATGGATAAGAAGTTAAACAGAAAAGAAGTTTTAGAAAAGACGAACTACAATAAATTTGAATTTAGGTAAAAGGAGCAAGAAGAAACAATGTATGAAACCAACACATAAGTGAATGATGCTAAGCCAGATAGTCAGCAAATACCTTCCCCAATAACTTTCAATTCATAAGAAATAAATGTGGATAGTGTACACATGTGGACACTGATGATGCCCCCGCTTGCATATCATATAGTTATAAAGGGACATAACTGAAAAACGGTAAAAGTGACGCTACCCAAATTTGAACTTGATCTGAGTTTTGTGGTAATAAGCATTGTGTGTAAGTCTCATAATATTTGGTTGAGGCTTACTTAAGTAGAGAACAGAAATTAAAAATTCAGCAATTTTTCTATTTGTAAACACGCATAACTCTAGAACGGTTGTGTATAAGATTTGAAACATTTTGTTGAGACAAACTAAAAAATTCAGCAATTTTTATGTTTATAAATGGACGTAACTCAAGAATGGTAAAAGTGTCGCCACCAAATTTCGTACTTCATCTGTATTATGTAGTAATAAGCATTGTGTATAAGTTTCATAACATTTGGTTGAGGCAAACTAAAGTAAGAAAACGGAAACAACAAATTTGTACTTGATCTTAGTTTTGTGGTAATGTATATTGTGTATAGGTTTCATAATGTTTGGATGGGGCAAACTTAAGTTACAGAATGGAAACTAAACATTTTGCAATCTTTCGATTTATAAAGGGGCATAACTCAATAATGTTTAAATGGACACTACCCAAATTCAACTCGATCTGTGTTTTATTAGTGGAAGTCAAAATTAAACATGCATTGTATAAAGCATCGATTGTAGTTGATTCAGCTATAATCATGGACAAAGGAAGATAACTCCAATTTTAAAAATTACTTGATATTTAGAAGAAAATAAAAATTTTGCAATTTTTCCATTTATAAAGAGGTATAACTCTAGAACGGTAAAAGTGACGCCACCAAAATTCAAACTTGATCTGTGTTTTGTGTTAATAAGCATTGTGTATACGTTTCATAACATTTGGTTGAGGCTAACTTAAGTAATGGAACAGAAACTTAAAATTTTGCAATTTTTCCATTTATAAAGGGGCATAACTCTAGAACGGTTAAAGTGACGCCACCAAAATTCAAACTTGATCTGTGTTTTGTAGTAATAAGCATTGTGTATAGTTTCATAACATTTGGTTGAGGCAAACTCAAGTTAGAGAACGGAAACCAATTTTGGGACGTACGTACGTACGTACGTATAGGCGGATAAGGGTAAAACTTAATGCCCCCACCGTTACGGCGGGGGCTTAAAAAACAGGATAGTCTTAAGAATTATACATTGATACCGATATAAAATAAGATAATAATATATAAACAAAATTATAATAATCTTATTACAATATAGCACTCGTAATGCGAAAACGATGAAAAATACAGAATTTATGCAGTTTTCCATTGTATTTTCATTGTGGAAACATCATGCGCAGCCAAGAAACAACAAAATAATTTAAGAGCAGCCTTGTTATAACTATTGACATAATCTCACTAAATATAAAGTTGTTTCTTGGGCGCGCACATACTTTGCCAGTCTAAAATATACGTAAAATTTGATGAAAAACAAGGAAAAT